GCACACCAAGGTATTAATTATTATTGAAATCTTTATCTATATTTACTACCAAAAGTAATCACCATTGATAATGAATAGAAAATCATAAATGCAGATTAATTTCAATATTTATAATAAAAGATGCTGCAAACTTTGAACTTTAAAACTAACAGCACTTGCTCACAGATTCGTTCTCCAATCTTCTGAAGCCTCACAAGCTGAGAATTGCTCTGTTTCATTTCAGAGTTCGGGTTTTGGAGAAGATAATATCAGAATCTGGTTTCTTCATCTTTACTTGTAGTCATGGAGGGTGAGATTATGAATCTCATGAAGGTGTGGTTCTCAGTTGTTGTCTCTTTATGCTACTGTTATTGGATCCGAAAGCTTGTTCCTGCAGGAACAATACGACTCTTCCTTTTTCTTCCGATCGTCTTTTTTTTCATTGTGCTTCCTCTGAGTCTTTCTTCTGTGCACTTCTGTGGCACCACAGGGTTCTTCATTGCCTGGCTAGGAAACTTCAAACTCTTGCTCTTAGCTTTCGACAAGGGACCTCTCTCCTCCGACGCATTCATCTCTCTTCCACGTTTTGTAGCAGTGGCATGTCTCCCCATCAAGATCCAGAAAAACCCAGCACGTTCTACCTGCATCCAATGTTCTTCAGCTGAAAATGGGAAAACCCCACATCCAGATTCGTCCAAAAGTTCCGATTTTGACACCAACCCATCTTCAATAAAGCCAAACTCTGTTACCAAACAAAACTTGTCCGCGGTATCATCCAAAAATGCCGGTGGTACCCCATTTCTGGGGTATGCCCTAAAGGGTATTGCTGTGGGCATTTTGGTGAAGATCTATGACTACAGTGAGAGTATCAATCCGAATGTCCTTATGTGCATGTACTGTTTCCACATTTACTTCATGTTGGAAATAATCTTGGCGGTGGTCGCAGCAGCGGCGAAAACCTTGCTGGGGATGGAGCTGGAGCCGCAGTTCAAAAATCCACTCCTCTCGACCTCACTCCAAGACTTCTGGGGAAGGAGATGGAATCTCATGGTCACCAGCATCCTCCGACCAACGGTGTACGAACCGACCGTGAAAGCAGCATTGAAGATTGTTGGTCCCACGTGGGCCCCATTACCGGCAGTGATGAGCACCTTCGTGGTGTCGGGTTTGATGCACGAGTTGATACTGTTCTACCTGGGGAGGTCGGAGCCCACCTTCAGAATGACGTGCTTCTTTCTCCTTCACGGGATGAGTTTGATGGTGGAGATTGCGTTGAAGAGGGCCCTCACCGGCAGGTGGCGGTTGCCGAGGTTTCTGTCGGGGCCTTTGACCGTCGTATTTTTCATGGCCACCTGTTTTTCCCTGTTCCTGCCGGAGTTCATCCGGTGTCGGATTGACGTCAGGGCGTTTGAGGAATACGCCGCCTTGGGCCACCTTCTTACACCTCTCAGTTCCTCATTCTCAGCCATCTTTCACAACAAATCTTAGCAACTAGGAATAAATAATTTTTATGAGTAATTTGTTTCTATGCTATTTATTTTTTATTTAAATAACGCATGTTTATTTCTTATTTGATAGAGTTTATTACTTTGTAATTTTATCTGATGATTAAAATTCAATTTTCCCTCATCTCCAAAATATAATCGAAAAAACAAACTAAAAATACATTAATATTTAAAAAATTTCTTTATTATATTTTAATTTTTTTAATACATTTATCCATTTTTTTGCCCTTTTCAACACATAATAATTTTTTTTTTGTATTTTTTAATTTTTTTTGTAAATTATTTTATATTCTAAAATAAAAGAGATATTTTATTAATGTTGAAAGGTGTTGGATGAAAGATTGGACCTTTGTTTATGAACACGCAACACCCATTATTTCTCTTGTTATAAATGTATGAAAAAATTGGATAGTACACACTTATTAAAAAGAAAGCCAACGACTTAAATAAATATTCATAAAATCAAGAGTTCAATGGAACTTTTAAATTACACAATTTTAGTATTAACTTTAAAAGAAGTATTACTTAACATTTTATTATTATTATTATTATTATTAAATCATATAGTATAAGAATGCTTATACAAATAATAACATAAATAAATTTTAAATTCATATTATATGATTGATTTTTATTTTGGGCATCTAATAGATTAGTTATTTTGGTTTAAGTAACTTTTATTATTTACTTCAAATTTACTGTTCAAATGTTTATTAAAGTTAAACATTTATCATAAGGTGATTAAAAACGATATATTAAAATCTTTAAAGTTCAAAACAATATCTGCAACATCCATGCTTCATATACTCATCTCACTGTATTCGAAACGGACCAATCACATACTATCACATATTGTTAAAAAATTATAAAAAAAAAGACACATTTTCCTGTACAAAGATCATAAGAACCAAATGCTCATGCTACAATAATTTCCCTCATGATCCTCCGCAGGAAAAATATTACAATATTTTGATAGAATAAAGTATTATATCATTTCATGCTTACAAATGGCTGCTTTTATATTGACCTTTCGTCACTCATGCTGTACAGTGATCTTGCTGCAAAAGAGCCAATCAATGTCTATGATACAGTTTGCTACTAGAAAAATGTTAGCAACACACCTTCTGAAATATTCTTTACTATTACTTAAATTTATTAAAAATCATAAAAATTTGTGGACTTTACTTTTTTATTTAAACTCCACTCATTCGATTTTATAATTTTTAATAAATTTTAAATTGCAGCAGTTGAAAATTTTCTTAAATATCTGACCTATATTATAAACTTAGTGCAATTGATTAAAACACATACATAACATACATTGGCAGTTGAATCACAATGGATCCAAATGCCAAACGAATTCTAAGTGAGTGCAGTCGAGTGAACCTTTCACTTTTTTCAAAGCTGCTTGTCTGTGTTGCAGCAGAGGTAATGATGGATCTTCACTTTGTTCAGAGAGATGTTCACTTTGATTTTTGCGGGGAGCTTTCCTTGAGATAGCTTTCCATTTTGATTCAAATATACTAGCTACAATGATGAAGAAAAAAACGAAACAAGAATGCTTCAACTTCTTAGTTATGAGAAACTAGCAATGCTGAAATCATTAACAAAGCAAATACAAAAGGATGAGATAATCTTGCATAGAATCAGTATCCTAGTCAATTCAATAAAAGATAGCTGGATTGTTAGGTTGCAAGGAGTGTTTCACTGTTGGATAGGAAGAGATTCATTTGAGAGATACAACATCAATAGGATCTAAGTCCAACTATATATAAGAATTGTCACTTCTCTATCCAAAACCTACAATGAATTAATGGATTTTCAACTTTATATGGTGTTCTACTTTTTCATTCTACAATGTAAGACTTTGACTCAGACTAAAAATTCTAACATTCACGGTATTGCAAAAGATAAAACAAAAGAGTCGAGGAATTATGTGCCATTGCAAAAGATAAAATACCTCAAATTACCAATCACCATTAGATTAAAATGGCTATCAAATAGCGAACCTTATGACAAAGATACATATGGTGCCTAAAAAGACAACAGATTATAGCGCAATACAGTAAAAATGAGAAATATAATTCTATACATAATTTTCATCTTATTTCTCATCTCAGCACTCAGTTACATTTCATCAGATTACTACAGCTAAGAAAATACCCCATTGGCTAGTAAAAATAAATGATTTTATTACAAAAAACATAAATTAATTAGTTTATTGGGTTATTTGCCAATTAGTTAAACTGTTTCTTGTCTGCGTTCTATCTGTCTCCTCACCTTATTGTAATTTGTATACCTTCTCATAATTTGTAATCTATTTCCTCAAGTAAAGGAATTGGTATTATTCCCAAGTCAGGAAATTGATCACAAAGAAGTTGTAATCATTTCTGGACACAAAGAAGGCCCTGTTTCTGCAGGCCATTCAATTTCAGAAGCTTGGAAGTTGTAAGCAATAAGTATAAGATAACCCACAGATACAGCAAGAACAGCCTGAGGACTGAATTAAGTCCTCAGAATGGGTTCGGTGGAAGCAAAGGAAAGACAACAAGACCCTTATCGGTGAGTAATCTAATCTGACTTCTTTTGATACACAATTGCTGTGGAGAGTTGGCCTTAAGTAGCAAACTTCCCTAAAACTGATAAGAACTGCAGATTGAAACCTTAAAGAGCTGGCCGCAGTTAAGAAAAACAATCATGTAGTACCGTAATGTACGTAAAAGAACACAAAACCAGACATATACCTTCACTTCGGTCTGCAAAACCGCAAATGATGCATGCACAGATCCAAGGCCTTCCAGCACGGGATGCCTTTGCACCACCGTTAAGTTCCCCATTGTGCTGCTTCAAACTACATCAATTAAGCAGGAATCAAACGTCTATTTTTACTTTAACTTCATTGCAAATTGCAGACATCAGTTTTGTAAAATTAAAACAAAAAACTTGCAAAATCAGCTAGATCAAAAGAACAAAAATTGAATGGGGTGTATAAGAACTCATTAAAGTAAGGATTTTTAGATTGGTTAACCTGTAGCTTAACTAGTGTCACAAACTTGGAGTTTCCTGAGCCAAAAATCCTATGAAATTTTACATTACGAACAAAGGCATTGTAGTTTACCATGGAATGGGAAAAATAGAGATACACGGATACAAAAGCACGACACTTTTCACACGTAAATACAAAAAAATAAAAATAAAATGAGCACCCACAGGGCAGGATGAGCAACTAAATCAAATTGAAGTTGACAGAGAGGTATAATTCAGCTGGGAAGATCGGAAAATTGAACTTACCGGCGAGGGAAATTGTTTGTGATCCCAACATAGGTTTTGATTGGATGGTTGGTGGAGAGGATGAGATAAACGCACCATGACTCTGACTCTGATTTTGGTTTGGCATTGAATTTTAGTTCTGATTTTGTCGGAGAGGACGATTTGCATAATTTAGGGTTTGGATTAGGGCGTTTGATGGAACGAAATTGGGTAGACAGCGTTCTCATAATTTACCGCTGTACCGTTGGAGCAGTTAGTCGCGTAGCCAGCCATTTCATACAACAAATATTATAGACTGTTTATGACTAATTTTAGTTTTTAAATTAAGCATACCTTTCATACAAAAATCACTTAAATTTAATTATATTTTATTTATCAATTTTATTTAAAAATATTTAATTGTATAAATTTTATTTTAGAAATATTTAATTGTATCAATTTTGTTAAAAAAGAAGTGACTTGCAATGCCAATACATTAGAGAATCATATTGGATTGCAACCAATGTAAAACAATTTTGGTTGATTTTAGGTGAGTTAAGTGTGATCTATGTTAGCCAAAATTGATTTAAATCACAAATTACTAAGATTGAAATATGACTTTAACAATATAAAAAAATTTCAAATTATATTTTATGTTTAGTTTAAATTTTTTATTAAATAATTTAATTACTCTAATAAAATAGTATAATTTTAGTTTTCTAAAAGAAAAATTACTCTTTTAAAATCTCTTATCTAAATTCATTCCTTCAAGTATGAGTTTGATCGAAGATATTTAGGAGATTAGGAAAGATCAGTGACAAATATTTATAGAAAAATGACAATTAGATATACATAATTTTTTCATATTTATTTTCCATTATTATTTTCATTTTATAAAAATTTATTTTTTATGATTATTTTCCTTTTGTAATATATATCACACGAGTGTAAATATACGTCATTCTAACATTGTTATATGGTTGGGAAACATCCGACAAGGACAATTGATTCGGATTATATAACTAATGTACATGGCACAAACAAATAATAATAACTAATCTACATAAGAGGAATGTTGTGCCACAGCTTAGCTCGTCGTGTCATTGAGATTTAGCTGCTGAATTTCTGAACTTGGGGCGAGGGTTGTCGATGTAAGATCGTATTCTGTCCAAAAGGGAGATTCTGGAGCCGAAGAATCTCACCATGGTTGATTTTCTTGAACCTTCTCTCAGAAATTCTAACTCCCACACGTTACCTTCTTTCACAGAGACTAAGTCATCAAGCAGTGGCAGTGATATAGAACCTTGAGATTCTACATTTCTGATCCACCCACGTAGCAAGAAATTTATCACCTGCAAATCATAACAGTACTTGCAGTATTACTCTTCAGCATCAACCATTTTCATGCAAGAAATTGCCATGTATAATATACCTCAGGCACTTCATCATGAGGACAGTGACCAGCAGGGCTTATTTGATAATATGCAGCTTCAGGCACCTTGCTTTTAACTTGGACTCCCCAAAGTGGCTTTACCCACGGATCTTCTCTTCCGTACATCAGGCACATTGGTATGTTCATTCTCCGACATCTAAATTGCAAACAAACTCAAAATCCTTAAATTGAAACCAAGATTCTAATACTGATAACTGTTGAGTCTATGACGAGAAAATTCACCGAAAAAATACAAATATAGTCTAATCATACAAGAGATTGATATCCCTCCTTACTAAAAATCTGGATTAACGGATTTTCAACTTTATACGGTGTTCCACTTCTTCATTTTTAACATTTGTCGTTAAAAAAAGTTAGAGAAGTAATAATGTCTACCTAGATAATGATTCATTGAAAGATAACTCTGCTTGTGGAGCACACATAATTGAAGCAAAAGCTGCTGATGCTGCAGGATGCCGTGTGGTTTCCACAATGTGTGAAATTAAACTATCTACATTCGTTGAATGGTCTGCATAAACCTGATTAAGTACCTCTGCAATACTTGCAGGATCACTGATTTTCTCCCACCTAGAGGGGAAATAAAATAAAACAACTATTTGGTCAAATAACAGTCTAACAGTGATAGAGGGTTACACAGATGATTATGCTAAAATATTGAAAACATGCTGTATGAAGCAAATCATAAAATGAAGTATTACTTACACCAACTCTGTCAGTTTTCTTACACTTGCTGGTAATGGAAACGTTCCAGCCCAAGGAAATATTTTTGCTAGGCGTGGATTCTTTATTGGATTAGGAAGAAACCCCCAAAAGGGTGTTGCATTAAGAAGTGTGACACCTTTCACTAAATGAGGGCTACGTGCCGCAAAATACAATGCAACNTGACTTGCAATGCCAATACATTAGAGAATCATATTGGATTGCAACCAATGTAAAACAATTTTGGTTGATTTTAGGTGAGTTAAGTGTGATCTATGTTAGCCAAAATTGATTTAAATCACAAATTACTAAGATTGAAATATGACTTTAACAATATAAAAAAATTTCAAATTATATTTTATGTTTAGTTTAAATTTTTTATTAAATAATTTAATTACTCTAATAAAATAGTATAATTTTAGTTTTCTAAAAGAAAAATTACTCTTTTAAAATCTCTTATCTAAATTCATTCCTTCAAGTATGAGTTTGATCGAAGATATTTAGGAGATTAGGAAAGATCAGTGACAAATATTTATAGAAAAATGACAATTAGATATACATAATTTTTTCATATTTATTTTCCATTATTATTTTCATTTTATAAAAATTTATTTTTTATGATTATTTTCCTTTTGTAATATATATCACACGAGTGTAAATATACGTCATTCTAACATTGTTATATGGTTGGGAAACATCCGACAAGGACAATTGATTCGGATTATATAACTAATGTACATGGCACAAACAAATAATAATAACTAATCTACATAAGAGGAATGTTGTGCCACAGCTTAGCTCGTCGTGTCATTGAGATTTAGCTGCTGAATTTCTGAACTTGGGGCGAGGGTTGTCGATGTAAGATCGTATTCTGTCCAAAAGGGAGATTCTGGAGCCGAAGAATCTCACCATGGTTGATTTTCTTGAACCTTCTCTCAGAAATTCTAACTCCCACACGTTACCTTCTTTCACAGAGACTAAGTCATCAAGCAGTGGCAGTGATATAGAACCTTGAGATTCTACATTTCTGATCCACCCACGTAGCAAGAAATTTATCACCTGCAAATCATAACAGTACTTGCAGTATTACTCTTCAGCATCAACCATTTTCATGCAAGAAATTGCCATGTATAATATACCTCAGGCACTTCATCATGAGGACAGTGACCAGCAGGGCTTATTTGATAATATGCAGCTTCAGGCACCTTGCTTTTAACTTGGACTCCCCAAAGTGGCTTTACCCACGGATCTTCTCTTCCGTACATCAGGCACATTGGTATGTTCATTCTCCGACATCTAAATTGCAAACAAACTCAAAATCCTTAAATTGAAACCAAGATTCTAATACTGATAACTGTTGAGTCTATGACGAGAAAATTCACCGAAAAAATACAAATATAGTCTAATCATACAAGAGATTGATATCCCTCCTTACTAAAAATCTGGATTAACGGATTTTCAACTTTATACGGTGTTCCACTTCTTCATTTTTAACATTTGTCGTTAAAAAAAGTTAGAGAAGTAATAATGTCTACCTAGATAATGATTCATTGAAAGATAACTCTGCTTGTGGAGCACACATAATTGAAGCAAAAGCTGCTGATGCTGCAGGATGCCGTGTGGTTTCCACAATGTGTGAAATTAAACTATCTACATTCGTTGAATGGTCTGCATAAACCTGATTAAGTACCTCTGCAATACTTGCAGGATCACTGATTTTCTCCCACCTAGAGGGGAAATAAAATAAAACAACTATTTGGTCAAATAACAGTCTAACAGTGATAGAGGGTTACACAGATGATTATGCTAAAATATTGAAAACATGCTGTATGAAGCAAATCATAAAATGAAGTATTACTTACACCAACTCTGTCAGTTTTCTTACACTTGCTGGTAATGGAAATGTTCCAGCCCAAGGAAATATTTTTGCTAGGCGTGGATTCTTTATTGGATTAGGAAGAAACCCCCAAAAGGGTGTTGCATTAAGAAGTGTGACACCTTTCACTAAATGAGGGCTACGTGCCGCAAAATACAATGCAACATATCCTCCTAATGAGTTTCCCACAATGTACACTGGTTCTCCAATGACCTGCAGAAAACCAGTTTTATGGTCAATATCTAAGAACAAGGTATTTTCTTACTAAACCTAACTCAACCTCGTAAAACCCATTTATAAAATATGATTTGGAATCAACACAAGAAATTAATTTGATGATCAATATCCACAAACAATGTACTTTCTTACTAAACCTAACTCAATCTCATAAAATCGACTTATAAGATATAATTTTGAGTCATTTATATACTATAAACTCGTCTTATCTCAACATTTACCACAAGAGATCAATTTGATGGTCAATATATCCACAAACAAAGTACTTTCTTACTAAACCTAACTTAACCTCGTAAAACCGACTTATAAAATATGATTTAGAGTCATTTATATAATATAAACTCGTCTTATCTTAACATCTACCATTTTTCACCACATAGTTTGAGTAAAAATTTATTTCTTTGTTATGAAAAACCTGCTAGCTGCTATCAAATGGCATGTCACCAACCTCTTCTATGAAGTATCGAACTTGGTCATGCCATAAATCAATGGAGTATACAAGATTAGTGGCCCACGGTTCCGTTTCATCTCCAAAACCCCATGAAGAAGCATTTCTATTTGAAGTATCTCCTTCCTTGTTATACCGAGGAGCAGGATCTTCAAAGGGCAAGGACAATCCTTGGCCTAGAAAATCCAGTGCCCATACTCTATTATCACGCCCCAAATCTCTCAGTTGCTTTTCATAATGGAAAGAGCCAACACCAAAACCAGGAAGAAACACAACAGGTGGAGAATCCACGTTCTCACATCCTGCCTTTTCATAGTGAACATTGAGCTTAGGCTTCCATTCCCAAAAGCAACTACTTATTGGAGCACCACATTCACCATTTGACCCATCTGGCAAACCTGGAATGAGAATATTCCTAGTTGCAGACTCTTCTATCTCTGAAATATCTGTTAAACCCTTTTCACCGTCAATCACATAGCCCTCGTATCTATCACTGTAGGCCCTGCAATTGATTCTTTTGAACCCTTCAAGAACAGTCAGAGACCCAACCAAATCTCTTTGCTGCTCCTTTTTATCATGAAATCTCACTGACCCTCTTCTAGAAATGGTATTGGTATAACAAACTTCACGCTCTCTGAAAATGGGAATCCTAGAATGACGTGAATTTGAAGACTTTTCATCCGATTTCCTCTGCAAGTTCACCACTTGACAGCATGGTCCAGATCTATACGAGAGAATTTCCATACCCAAAAACTGAATTCTGCAACAATCACCCACCAAATGATCATCGTAAAGAAAGGAATAAAAAGGTAGAACTGATAGTTTCGAAGTTCAAATTGATTTCTGTTTTCATCTATCAAACAAAACCAGTAATGTCTTTAACTGTTTATACAGTAAAAGCATAACCAAATTTGTATAGCAAGGGAAGAAGAAAGAGCAAACGGAACTAACTAGAAACACGAGCATGGAGTTGGAACACATCAATTTATAGTTTTTTTTTTTCATGCATATTTAATTCGAACAGAGAAGCCAATCTTTACAATCACAGTAATAACTTAAAAAAAAAAAAAAGGTGGCCGACGATAATGTACCCTTTAATTTAATGAAGGAAATGACATGCGAATCTGCTTCTCTTTGAAACTCGGAGTTTTTAAGGAGATTCTGATATGCTCCTCCTTTCTAGGAAGGCTTTTCTTCTTCATAAGCGTACAAAAATTTAACTTTTTGTTTCATATTCTGCCACTTTGAGAAGAAGAAATATGAATAAATTAGCGCTGGGAGATGCAGAGGCAAACGAGAAAGACAACATGTCGGACAAACTACAGATAAAACTAAAATGACAACAGTTATACCAGTCATATAATTTTTCTATAAATATCATTTTTCGTGGTCTGCATGTTCTTTATTTTTCTTTTATAAAAGTAAAAAATATATAAAGTTATTCCTACAGAAGTAATTTCTCACGTGGAAATCTCCACAGCCACTAAGATGATGAAGGCAGATTTTCTATTCAGATAATATTTTAAATTTATCTGAATGTTTTATGTCAAATTACAGAGTCATATGTGTATGTTTTTTTTTTCTGTAAGAGATATTTTAGCTTCAAACCTGTATGTGATGGTGAAGTGCAGTGAGTAGCTCATAACAAGAATCTTTCATTATCAATAGATTAAATTTTATCTGAAGATTTTTCTTTGCTTTATTTTGATTAACGTACTTTATGTAAACAATTTTCATAAAAAAATGTGTTTTTAGAATAATTTGATTTGGTCTTTATTTAAAAGAATGATAACGGGCTTCCGCCGCTAGGGACTGGGCCTTAGGCCCAGTACTGCAGAAAAACGTGTCTATTCATTCTTGTGTTCCTGCACGTGCTTAAAGTAAGTCTGTTTTTAGAAACTAATAAAAAAAAAAGCAACAGTGATATCAATTTAAAGTGGGATTAGATTTGAATATTAATTATAAAATAATTATTGGTTTAAATGTGCATGAAAAAGTAAAATAAAAAAGGAGAGAGAGAAGAACGAGAATCTGAAATATCTAATTGAAAATGGTGTTGCCTTGCGTGAGTAACTACTTTACTTTTCCCGTTGGCAGTGTTCGAAGCGGTGGTTGAGCATTGGTAATCCGGAACGGAACGAAACGAGATGGTTTTCACGGAGTCCTCTCTTCTCCTTCCGTCCGGTTCGAACAGCAGGAAGAGCAATGTTCCGGAAGACAAATGGGATTTGGCGTACATAGTGTATTTCTCCCTGGGATTCGGTTACCTTCTCCCATGGAACGCTTTCATCACAGCCGTTGATTACTTCTCCTATCTTTACCCTGACACCAGCGTTGACCGCGTCTTCGCCGTCGTTTACATGCTTATCGGCCTCGTCGGAATCTCCCTCATCATCCTGTACCGCTACAGCTCCAAAGCCTTTCTCAGAATCAACCTTGGTTTGGTCCTCTTCGTCGTTTCGCTCCTCATCGTTCCCCTAGTTGACGCCTTCTACGTCAGGGGTCGTGTCGGAGTCATCGGTGGATTCTACGCCGCCGCCTTCGCCATCGGCCTCTCCGGCGTCGCTGATGCGCTCGTGCAGGGTTCCATTGTTGGCTCCGCCGGCGAGCTGCCGGAGAGGTACATGCAAGCTGTCATAGCTGGCACAGGCGGTTCTGGTAGTCCTCTAATTAATTACCTTCATTGGTTCATAGTTTAGTTCTTTTTGGTGGATGCATCGTGTGAGTTTTGTATGATATGGTACTGAGTGGGGGATGTGGTATCTATTATTCAATCATATTACGGTTTAGACATTCTTTCTTCATTTAGGTCGTTTTGTTAGATGAATAGATGTTCTCTGATAACTTCCTGCGCTAACCTCAGGGATTTCATATGCTTATCAAGTGTCGGTATCAGATTATATGTAGCACATGTTCTTACTAAATTGGAGAATTTTAAAAAGCACGTTCGTAGTGTAGTCATGGGAATCTTGGATTCTTCAGCAGATTTTGCTTTTGGTGGGTGAATACTCTTAAGCATTTTATGCTAAGGTTGTCTGTTTAGAACTTGTGGCTGTGCCAGAGAGTCAAAAAGTGATAACGGTACCATGTTGGTGTCCCGAGTCTCCTTTCCTTTAGCATTTATGTTCTTGCAATGGCTAATACACTAAACAATTGTTTGTGAAACACTCAAGACAGAGCTTAATTATGAGTTGAAACTGTATGTTTAGGCAATATAAACGACTTGAGCAGATTTCAGTTTTATATGGTTTTTCTATTTCATGGTAAAAAAAACTTATCTTATGTCTGTAGCTCATTATTAATCTACTGGTTTTGGGTTCACACACACATATGCAAATATTTTGTGATTTTTTTTTTATATATTTTTTTTTTTATCGAACTCAGGTGGATAAATTGTTCTCTGTTTTTATTGTGGATGTTTTCATTTCAGGGGTGCTTGCTTCTGTCCTGAGGATAATCACAAAAGCTGTTTACCCACAAGATGCCTCTGGCCTACAAAAGAGTGCAAATCTATACTTCTCTGTATCAATTGTGATTGTGTTCATATGCATGGTTTTATATAACATGGTGCACAAACTTCCTATTATGAAGTATTATAATGAACTTAAGGTTGAGGCTGCTGCTGCAAATGGAGACAGTGGTCCCCCAACTGGAGTTGTCTGGAGGTCGACTTTATGGGATATTGTTGGAAGCATCAAGTGGTATGGATTTGGCATTGTGCTCATTTATGCTGTGACTCTGGCAATTTTTCCTGGTTACATTACTGAGGATGTGCACTCTGAAGTCCTTAAGGATTGGTATCCAATTCTCCTAATTGCTGCTTATAATGTGTTTGATCTGGTTGGCAAGTCTCTGACTGCAGTTTATCTCCTACAGAATGCAAAAGTTGCAATAGGTAGTTGCATAGTAAGATTGCTGTTTTTCCCTCTCTTCTTAGGGTGCTTGCATGGTCCCCAATTCTTCCGGACTGAGATTCCCGTGACGATACTAACTTGCCTCTTAGGGCTTACTAATGGCTACCTAACCAGTGTATTGATGATTATGATTCCTAAAGCTGTAAAGTCGCAGCATGCAGAGACTGCAGGGATTGTGAGTGTATTATTCTTAGTTTTTGGTCTGGCTTGTGGGTCTGTTATAGCTTGGTTTTGGGTCATCTGACCAAGAAATTTGTGTTAATATGGGGACTGTGATGCGTCTTGTGTGTCTTTCCTCAATCAGAAATCAAAAACTGTAATAAATTTCCTTAATTTGTTTCCAAATAATATGAAAATTTGTAGCCTTATCTGTTGATATAATGATACTGCTTTCAATTCTAAACAGCTACTGTCGGTTCCTCCTGTGTTTTTTATGGTTTATAGATGGATAAACAAAAGTAAAGCCTGCGCAAGCATGATTCACCTGTAATTTTTCTGTTCCTCCATTTACAACAAATGTAAGTTGAGATGCCACTAACTACTAAACTCCTTATAATTGTAGTTACTTTTATGGACTGCCAAGTCTGATTCCGATTATAAACTTACAGGAAGAAAAAGAAAAAGATCCTGTAATAGAGACTGAGGAAAGTTTCTTTCCCCTTAGAGGAATGGTTGGAAAATAAATCTTCAATTTGTCCTAGAATAGTCTTACTTTAATATCTTATTTCTCTAGCACTGATATTTTTTTTCTTCTAGCTTCTGGCTGAATTTAGTACAGATAGAATTGCCAGTGGAATATGATATGATAATAAAGAGTTAATGTCCATGGTCCAATCGCACACCTGAGATCCCTCCTTCCTTCCTAAGATCACTTGGAAATTTTGAACTTATGGGCAAACTTTTCTCTTTATTTTTCAAACTTTTTGAAGAGTAAAAGAACATTTTACTGTATAATAATGCATTTAATAGCTCTATTTTATTTTTTATATTCAAGTTTGTAAATTTGGTTCATCTCAACATAAACAATAGGAACAAATAGTATAATAGGCAATTAATATACACAAGACAACTATTCCATGATTCCGTCTAACACTATATATACTTCATGAACTTTATCCTATAAATAAACATCCTCTTCTGATTCCCATTTTAGACCAATAATCTGCATAAAACTGTATGGTTTTGATGTTTCCTGCATCAACTTCCCATCTCAAACTCTTGATTTCTGCCAGTAAACTCATTATCTGCAGTCACAGATGGAGAAAATACCAAAAACATTTTTTGGGTTTTCAATTTTCTTTTCAAAAAAAGTAAGAGAGGAAAACAAGATAACATGGACAACAGAAGTTATCTTTAAGTTTGAAGGAAAAAGATTTCCAGGAAATGCAACCAGATGAATTTTGAAAAATTTAATTAGAGAACCAGCGTATTCATGTTTCAGGATTAATTTAAATATTTGTTAAAATTTTAAGTATTTTTCTTTGAAGGTGGATCAGGTTAGATCGATATTCTTCTTTTACCTGAACACAAAATAGGATTTTGAAATGATTCCATGATTGGTCTGGAAAAGTGAATAAGTTGTATTTTCTTTTTCTTTTGTTTTAAATTTGGTCATACATGATTTTATAATAATAAAAAAAAGTTTTATTCTAATTACAAATTTTAATTCATTTTCACAGTTTTAATAATAATTATATTAAATTGAAGTTGAGACTAAAAATAATTAAGGATTAAAAATAATAACATACAAAAATTGAGAAATTAAGACTGGTAAAAGAATTATTTAAAAACTTAAACCAGTATATCTTGGATTTGTACATAACTAACAAATAAGTGATAACCATGACTTTGACAGTTATATCTAATCGTGGTAAAACCTTTAATAAAGAAAAGAGAGTCAAAAATAATTTATTTAAAAATAAACGCAAAAATATCTACGAAGGAAGGAAGGAATAAAAAACATACTTTTTCTAATTTTTTTTTTAATAATATAGTTTAATCTGAAACAATCTTCCTGGTCCACCTAACATTCTCTAAACAACGTTTGTTGTTTGAAATGATATATTTCTAACAATGGGCTGATATATTTATGGTTGTCACCAACTAAACTATTTGTTTAATGTTTTGCTTTTTTTTTTCTAAGAAAAAATAATAAATTATAATTTTTTAAATTAAAAATAAATAACATTTATAATTTTATTATAGATATTTCCGTTTATTTTATAAGTAACTTTTTTATTATAAATAATCATTTTAATTTTAGAAAATATTAATTTAAAAAAAACTTCAAATAAAAAAATAACTAGATTTAAAAAAAATTAGTAAAATAAATATGATAGTTTTAAAAAAATGTTACTTACTAAATAGTAAAAATGAAAAAAAAAAGATTATGAATTTCCTTTATATAATAATTATATAGACAATATTTTTACACAAAAGCACACTACCAATTTTTTAATTAAATTTGTATTAATGATACATTTTATTACACATGTTCCCTCTCAACTAGTTGTTTTACCTTTTTTTCCTAATACCTAGCTTAAATCCAAATTCCATAAAACATCACTGATTAAAGAGGTTCAACAACTAGTGACAATATATGTTTTTTGATATCTCGATCTTGGATTCCAAAACCATCTCCATTTTGATAAAGTGTATGACTCACACGAGCTGCATTTATTGCTTGAGTAAGAAATGGTTCCACCAAACATGAAGAAGAACAACCAAAACACTTGTTTATCTTCTTCCATGCTTCAATGATTTTATCTTCTATATGCTTTCTTGCTTTTTCCTCTGAAACACCTTCTTCTTTCATATAGCATACGATTGATGAAGCAGCATCACCTCTTTCTCTTTCAGCCTGTTAATTTCAATTTCCATAATTAACATTCAATACTCAAATACAATTCGATTAATTAAAAAATAAGATATCGTTAAATATGTTTTTAGTCTTTAAATTTATATATAAAATTAAAATTTGTTTATCTTCAAGAAATTTATATACCTTGATTCACAAACTTTGAAAAAATGAAAATAATTCTTTTAAGCCAAGAATGTTAATTGTTCTAGAGTTGTTAAATGATTTGCTAAATTAACATTTGAAGTAAAACCCATAAAAAAAATATAAACAATCTAAATATTATAAAAAATGCATTTGATATATTAAAAAAGTTTAACATAATTGAATTTGTAAGACTATATTCATTTATTTTTAAACTTTAAAGATCAAATTATATCAAAATTTAAAATAAAGAAAAATTTTAATTTTGTGTAAGAATAAAAACATGTTTAACTCTTTATTATTAAGCAAGCAAAGATTGATTATATACCACCGTAGTCCCAAGGTCGTTGCAAAGTCTAATCACAAGAGATACATTGTAGACCAAATCCTCGTACGTATGTAGAAAATGTTCCATCGAATAATTTACTTGATACATTGTACCAAGATATGAATGCAGTAAAATCACAGGCCCAGAAGATGAAATCCATGCATTGCTTAAATATTCTTGCAAAGACGGAATGTATCCTTTGTTGTACCACTTTGCCTCCTCGTACAATGCTTTGCAAAACTCTATCCACTGACCAAGTTGTCATATATTTAGTCATTCATTAGTATAAATGTTATATTATGTGTTTGAAAAAACAGACATAATGTGTACTGTGAATGTTACCGCTTTCTTTAGGTAATGTAACACCAAGTGAAAGTTATTTTCTCCACCAATTTCATAAGCAATTTCATTTGTGACATCTTTCAGTGCATGGACGCAAGTTTTCATGTACGTTGGAAGTTCTTCAACAACTTCTGTGTCGTCCCATCTGTGCATATAGATACATTCATCAGATTCTACTAACTAACCCTAAACCTATATATAAGTAAGCTTAATTAGGTTAATTTTCAGTCTTAACAAACCTCTCAAACGCCATTGTGAAGGGCTTCAACTCTTGAAACGAGGCATGTATATCATAAACATCATCAATGACCAGTACGAAAACAATAACCTTAGTGAGCCATTTTCTGATGGATTTGTGCTTTGGCTCAAAAGCAACTCCTGCTGCACACATGAAGCTTTCAACCAACCTGTTCCTTGCAAAGCTCAATTCTTCTTTTATGCCAAGATTCTCCCACCACCTAAACCAAAAATTTAAGTATTAACAATTTACTCTGACCAACCGATCTACGCTACTCGGTCAATTACATAGAAAGTCAATTATGAAAATCTCCCAACAAGTGAACGAATTGATTCGTTGACTGTTCGGTCAAAAGATTTCATCTTTTGATTAATAAGATAAAAACATGTTTAGATGATATTGGACTGCAATTAGATCAGTCTTAATCAAAAGTCTACTTCAAAACTTATAAATATAGAAATAAGATAAAAAAGTAGATGATTACATTTATTGTACATTTAACACTTAACTGTGATAACCGACATATAATTGAAAACTAACTTAAATATCAAAGTATCTTTAGCCGATACTCACAATTCGGATTTGGACCTTATAAAAAAGATCAACAAAATTAAGAAAAAAAGTAAAATAAAAATAATATAAATGATTAGTTTAAAGTGTGAAGATAAATTTCTGGACCCATATGTCTCGTGAAAGAAACAATATAACTAAAAGCTTATGTATTTTCTTTATCACGTTTAAAAAGAATACCTGGATAATTCCTTCAACTCCAACTGAAGTGTTGACTGAATCATATTGAAATTTAATTTAGATAGTTCAAGTAAAACAGGGTTCATATTTTTCTCCTTGCTGTATTGCTTTACATGCCATTTGACTTCAAACCACTGTACTCTCCAGTGGGATGAAAGCTCCAGAGAGTGGACCACTCTTTCAGCATCTACAGTATCAGATAGTCGGTCCTTGTTGATGGAACTGAGAGAAAAAGCATCCTTCAGAGAACTTATGGCACATATTTTTGCCTTATCCAATATCTTTTCTCCCTCCAATCCTAAATGTGAGGCCTCAAGAAGCTCCAACACATGCTTAACATCTCCAGCATGTGAGCTGATTGTCCTCTTCACTTTACCATTTTTATCTAAGAACTTGCTTAACATATCTGAGTTTCGTAATCAATAAAAAATTAGATTGTTAATTATATATAGTTTTCACCAACATAGTAAGTCTGAGAGAGAAAACTGTGTTACCAGGCAAAACTGCATATCCGTGATTTCTGAGAAGCCTGAAGCATAATGCAGATACGTGCAAATCTTGTTCTTCACTGGTATTAACATGGCTGGTTTTGACATAGGCATGTATAGATTCAAGAAAGCCATTGATTTCCTTCTGAAAATGGTTGGCAAGGCCTAGTTTTTGGATCCAATCTACCAACTCTAGTTGTTTCAAAATATTCGTTTCTCGTGCAAATAGACTCTTCACTTCCATCACAAGCTTGTTTAACACCATAACAAATTCTTCCTTCTGTGGAAATCGAGCAACAAAGTATGAATAATAAGCTAAAACCATACTGAAAATGATGAACTTTGAATCCCAAAGACTGAAAACTTGAGAGAAACCAGTGCTGAAATAAACCCTTTGAGTGTGAATGAATAATTTTGCATGTACATTAAACTTGCATTCCAAATCTAGTTAAGATTCAAAAATATCATTTGACACTATTTTTTTTTCTCTTTTACATCTACTTTATGCAACACTTTTAATAGTAAAATGTTATATTTAACTAATATCATTTTAAAATAAAATTATAATATTTATGATTGCTGTCAAATAATTATGACCCTTAAGAGTTTGCATGACAATAATAGTAAATATAAGATGTTTTATTATGGATGAGTGTATATATAATCAACTAACATTTTCCACACTTTGGATAAGTTACAAAATTCTTTTCAAATACCATAATACTGTAGTAATATTTTCGACGTGGATTACTTTCTTCTGTGAGAAAATGTTCTGTCTTTTTATCTTGAAAAGTCTTAAATGTCGTATATATTTTTAATAAAATTATGTTTAAAAAGAAATGAAGCTGATGCCAATTGCTATCAATCCATACAAACTTGCAATTTATATTGAGAAATATAAGTGTGAGATAAGTTATATATATATTGAGGAATTAAGAAAATTAAACAATATATAAAAAAGAAAAAAAAAAAAATATATATATATATATATATATATATATATATATAATCTATAAATTTTATATTAATCTAATAGGAAGAAACTTGTGTTTAATAACAGAATATAAAAGGGAAAATATTCACATAAATAAACATAACACCAATAAGATTCGAATTTTCCATTACACAAAGGATGACATCACTTTGTATCTAAAATTTGAAGACAAAAGATTAATATCCAAAATTTTAATACAAATAATTAGTGAGTTTTTAATTTTTTATGATACTTTATTTTCTTATTGAATTTAAACTTAGAAGATAGTAAAACATAATATATATGTAATAAAATAAACAAAAAAATATAAAATTTGATGGGATTAAAGAAAAATAAAAAAGAGAAGAAGAAGAAGAAAAGAATCTCACGTTATATTTACTGTGAAGTGACTGGAGAAAGTGGTGTTTCCAAATGTTTGGTTTATAGTTTGCAGATCTACGTAAGTTGTCTGTTACTGAAACAAAAGTTTGAGGAGAGACATTGAGGTTTGATTGTTTCATTTTGCAGAGAAAGTGTTATGGCTGCATACTCTTATAGTCCAAAATCACTCCCTTTATATAGGCCACGCATAGGTAAGTGTTCGTGACATGTTTTATTTGGTCAACAAATGCCAACTTTCTGTTAGCCTATCGACCGAATTCTTTTTCATTTATCTTAATTTCATTTTATTTGTGGTGTGAGTGCTTTCAACGCTGATTTTTAATTATTGAATATAATTGGTCTGAAATATTCAAATATTTAGTTCCAAATACTCAAAGCATTTATAAGTCTAACTCAACCCCACAAATTTATGTTGAAAGTTTCACATCGATTAAAAATAAGACAAAATTATAATATATAAGTGAGATACAAACCCCACCTTACAAGCTACTTTTGTAAGATTGAGTCAGGCTTAAAATCCATGTGGATCTGAAGTTAGGTGCAGACCTCACAACATTTAAGACACTTTAAAATCATTAATGATATTTTTAAAGATATTTTTATTATTGAATTGTTTGTCAAATATATTAATATATATATATATAATAAATTATTATATTTTAAATAATATAATTGTTTAACGTAATTATGTATATTATTTCATTTTATGGGAGGTGATACTTGGATTGAGTTTTTCTATTACATTAACTTTATAAATTATTGATTTATTTATATTTATTTTTATTATGTTTATATAATAAAAGTAGTGTTAAATAAATGTATAAACAAAAGTTAATGTTAAACAATAACTTTCTTATTAAATTATAAAATATAGAAATTTAAAGCTATAAATTATAATTTTATATCTCAATTTTACAAACACTTATTTTATTTTATTTTTTTGTAATTTTAATTAAATTTAAAAATTACTTTTCTTAAATACAGAAAATTTTGTAGAGTGTTCTCGTAGTCTTTTATAATAAACTACATCAGGTAGTGATATTTAAATAAGAGGACAGTAAAAAATAACGTCGCATAATTAAAAAATAATAATAATTTAGTAAATTATCAAAATTTAACATGAACTTAATTAAAAAATTTCAAACTTTTCAGATACTCAAGCCTAAAAAGAATTGAAATCTTACACCGAATCAAATCCTCAATTCTCAAAAATCTCGATTTTCTCAGGTTTTAAACTTACTTTCCGTCATTAATTCCGTGTTTTCAATATTTTCACATTACATGTGTAATTAATTAAAAAATTGAAATTTTAGTTTAACATTATATTTGCAATACATTATTATTATTTTTTTCTATTGATGGACACTAATTTTATGTTTCCCCCCTTTTTTTTCTTTTTATCAAACTAAACTATCCGTAAAACTATTATTTCTTAATAACATAACATAAAATGATTTGAAAGACATTTGAAGTGTAAAGTTTTTTTAATTAATTATTAGGGATTTTTTTAATTGGTCTTAGGCTTGAAAATAATTCATATAAAAAATGTTTTTTAATTTTATTTTAACTATATTATATTAATTTTTTGTTTAGTTATAATAAATCAAAAGATAAATACTAAAAAATGTGCATATTAAATATTTTTCATACTATAGTTAATTATGTTTTATTTTTATAACTTTCTCCACTGATTACTGGTTACTGCTTTACAAAAAATTTAAGTGTAGTAGTACTTTTTGTTTTTATATTCATAATAATGATTTGATGTTTTTTATTTGTATATATGTTTATCGTCTAATTTCAAAAGCAAAATAAGAAAAACGATATTAGCATATTTTTTATATATAAAGAATTTGCAGGGTCACTTGAGCAGAATTGCTCAGCGAATAATACGAGTTGATTTTTTAGGAGAAAAATATTTTTTAATATAAATATTTTTTACAATACTTTATTATTTATTTATTATTATATTGTAAAAAATTATGTGTTACGAGGTTAATTTCTATGACTAACAACCACGCATTTGTCCAGTTTATCCAACAATAAATGGATAATGACAGGTTAATTTGCATGTGTTGTGAAACAATCAGAGGTGTTTTGTAGACAAAACTTATACAACTATTTTTAAACAAAAGTTATACACCACGTTTTTTTTTGGACCACACTAATGAACACGTTTTTTTATCAAGTGATACACCGTGTTTTCTTTTCTGCAAAACCGTAAAATATTTATATTAGAACCCTTCGATAGTCTTGATATAACTTAGTGTAAAATTGCCATACTATTACTATAGTCTAAATTAAATTAAGAAATTGAATTCAACATTATGTGATATTTTATACATTAATTTTATGCATTTTCGAATTTTGATGAAAAATAATGTAGAGAAGTGTATTTTCATGTTTACTTTAATTTTACAAAATTAATTTATGTAAGATACTTATTTATTTTAAATTTATCTTTAATTGATATGAAATATTCTATACATTTGTCACATTCGACGTATACTTCTTGAATGTTATGAAATTAAGTAAACCAATAGCTTCAACAAATAATACATTTTGAGTTAGTAGGTTAAATTATAATTTTGGTTATCATGAACTTTAATCTAAATTAAATTTACAAAACTCTTAATTATCTCAATCTCACGTAATTAACTTAAAGGTGATATTTATATATATATATTATATATATATTAATATTATATATTATATATACTTTATATATTATTATATCTATATATTATATATTTTTTTTTTTTTAAATTCGTTTTATTTCTAATAAATACCTTATCACAAACAAATAATGACGAAAAAATTGTATTTCTAATAAACTTTTAATCTTCACAAATTTGTTAGTAAGAATACTTGATTTTTTTTTCTTTCAAAATAAGTAGTGAATTCAATACAATAAATATTAATATTATTTTATTTTTTAGTATGGTAATTTAAATAAAAAGCTTTAATTTTATTAATTTTCTTTTAATTTCAATAATATTAAAGTAATTAATATGTGCTTTTATCTTTGGTAACATTACTTAATTTTAATACGTAATTAGACTTGAATGAATTTTTTATATTGTAAAACTAAAATATTACGTATTTTTTTAAAGGTTGGTTAATTATATGGTTAATTTTCAATAAATATGTATAATAATACTATTGGAAATGAAAAACATGTTTAATCATAATCAAACAAAATTAATAAAATATTTTTTTATTAAATTTGTCATATTTATTATATTAAAAATAAATATTTCAATATTTAGTGTATTAAATTAATTATTTATCTTTTAAAGTATGAATTTAAAGTTCTATTTATATACACAAGTTGTGTATTTAAATATTTTTAAAAAATATATAGTTTAAATTTCGAAAGCAAATTACTTCAAGACGTTGGCTGCGCACATTTATAACGATGAAAATGAGAAGGCTACGGAGAAGAAATGGTAAGTTGGTTCTTACCTAGTTTTCTAGAACATGGCAAGATAAATTACGAATATATAGTGTTTTTGTCAACGCAGTTTACATTTCTCTCAATTTTTTTCCTTTGATGTTGTGCTTTTTTTTCATTTAAATTACGAATAAATTTATTTTATCTGAAATTATTTTTTTCTGATATTTATATTTTTTTGTAATTTAATTTCTGAAGTCTTTTTATTTTATTCTACGATTTTCAATGCTCGTCGATACTTCTCTCACTGCATGTTAAATTATATTTGTCACTTTTATTTATTTTTTTCTAAATTTTTCTATTAATTACTTTTATTTTGTATTTTTTTCTTTATGTTTATTGGTTTTCTATTCATCTTGTTTTTTCTCGCCTAACACGCTCTTATTTAAGAAAAGAAAAGTGTTTTGTAAACTTCATCTTACTTGTATACGAAATACGAAATTGATTAATCTAAAATTGCAAATTGAGTGATGGAAGATAGTGAAATTATTATAAAGTGATAAATAAAGTTTATATTTTGATAAGTGCAAAAATTAAATTAAGTGTTTTTATACGATGTACTTTCGATTGATGTGAGTTTTTGTCGATTTATGAAACTCAGTGTATTCAAATTGAAAACCACAAGGATTAAAAGTCCAAATAAAATTAGGCTACAATAGTATCTTATTTTATATTTATGATTTTTTGTACGATGAAAAAATTAAATATTTGAAAGTGAAATTATTATTTTTTAAAAATTATGAATATTCATTGTTGCATTATAAAAACTCATGCAAAAATCAATATTAAATTGCATGTATTTAAGTGAAGATATTAAATTTTAAAATATTAAATCTGAAGAAACTCTGTTTGAATCTGAAACCGAATCGATGTGACTGTTCTCCAATCTTGTACCATATTTTGTGACAGTGCGATTGATTAAGGTGATGCAGTACATATTGAACTTATGATGTCACGGGTATTCCTTATTTACTTAATCAATTTGGTACGTGTATTCCTTGTTTACTTAATTATTTTTTCTAATATCTTTCTATTTCATACTTAGGATCATGTCTCTGTCATGTAATCATGGGTGTACCTAATATTTAAATCTTAAACTATAAATAATTTTTCATATTTAACTTTATAATCATATGATTGCAGTACATATTTGTAACACGTATTATTAGAAAGTTGAGATATAAACATCTCTTAAAAATTTGGTTCGATAACGGTTCAACGAGTGGAATAAAAATGTTCAAAAAATATCATTAGGACATAATTATGACATCATATTAGAATTTTTAAGTCTAATTCAATCCATAAAATTGATTTATATTACGAGGTTTACATTCTATTTATACATTATAATTTAGTTTTATTTCTAGTCGATATGAAACTTCCAACACTTATATATAAAATATAAAATTATATATATATATATATATATATATATATATATATATAAATAAGTGATGAGTTTATGAATCTATTAATCTGTTTTGACTTGTTTCACATATTAATATGAGACGGATAAATTATTTATATAAATTTAAATTATAAAATAAATTATATGTTTTTAATATTAAATGGAAAGACAATATAAAATTCAACTAATAATTTGGTGAATATAAGTATAAGAATTATGGAGTAGGTATTCAAATAAATGCATCAACTGACCATGATTTTAAC